GAAGCCCAGAGCCCTGGGACACACAGAGCCCTTTGGAGCCCGGGGACAAGGCCAAGTTCTCCATCCCAACCACCACATGGCACTACGCAGGGCGATATCGCTGTCACTATCTCACCTCTGCAGGGTGGTCAGAGCTCAGTGACCCCCTGGAGCTGGTAGTGACAGGTGAGAGGACACCTGGGCCCCAGCCCCTGCCCTCAGGGAGGGGGACTGCTCTCAGGGTCTCCCCTCGCACAGCCCAACCCTGGGTGACGTGGGAGGTGGGAGCCATTAACACGCTGCCCCCTTCTCTCCAGGAGCCTACAGCCGACCCGCCCTCTCAGCCCTGCCCAGCCTGGGTCCCAGGTCCCTCTTCTTGGGGACAAGGGGCCACCCCTGGGCAGCTGGGGATGGACACAGCAGTTCTGGGCTGAGAGGGGGGACGTCTGGAGGGCCCTGGGCTGGTCCCTGGGATCTGAGGGAGATGTCCTGGGACCAGCCTCTCATTTCCCTCCAGGGACCCTCCCCAAACCCACTGTTAGGGCAGAACCAGGCTCTGTGGTCACCTGGGGGAGGTCCGTGACCATCCTGTGTAAAGGGAGCCTGGGGGCCCGGGAGTACCGGCTGGACAAAGAGGGAAGCCCAGAGCCCGGGAACATAACGGCACCACAGGAGCCCGGGGACCGGGCCAGGTTCCGCATCGTGCACATGAAGGACACCCACGCGGGGCGGTATCGCTGCTCCTATCACACCCCCGCAGGCTGGTCGGAGCCCAGTGACTCCCTGGAGCTGGTGGTGACAGGTGAGAGGACAGGCAGGGCCCCCAGCTCTGCCCTCAGGAAGGGGCGTGCCAGGGTGGGTGCCCACTAACACGCTGTCCCCTCTCTCCTAGGAGCTCACGGCAAACCCGCCCTCTCGGCCCTGCCCAGCCCTGTGGTGACCTCGGGAGAGAACGTGACCCTCCGGTGTGGCTCAGAGCAGAAATTCGACACATTTGTTCTGTTTAAGGAAGGGAAACACGACCTCTCCTGGTACCTAGCTTCCTACGAGCACGCCTCCGGGCAGGTCCAGGCCCTGCTCCCGGTGGGCCCCATGACCCCCAGCCGCAGGTGGACGTTCAGGTGCTATGGCTTTTTCAAGAGCAGCCCCCAGGTGTGGTCAGAGCCCAGTGAGACCCTGGAGCTCCTGGTCTCAGGTGAGGATGCCCAGGCCTAGCCCTCAATGTTTGGAGACAGGGGACAGTTGCTGAGGGTGGCTGAGAACAGACCCCCACCTGGGGGACTGGGGTGAGCTGAGAACTTAGGGTGCTGGGCCAGAGACAGAGAGGGATGGAGCCCTGCAGGCTGGAGGGGGGGGTGTTTGGAGGAAGTGGCCCCCGACGCCCACGCCTGCCTGTCCCCCAGGTGTGTCCAGGAAGCTGTTCCTGGACTCACCTGGGCCCTGTCAGGCCCCTGGACGGCCTGAACCTATATGGAATGAGGTGGTGAAGGGACAGGTCTCATAGAGGGGAGGCCAGTCCACGAGAAGGTGGGAACAGAGGGCACCTCCCACCCCGGACACACACACACACGCACGCACACACGCACACACCCCGGCGTCCCCATGGGCTAAGGCTCAGACTGCGGGGAGACTCAGATACGAGGCGGAGATAGCAGACTGGACCGTGGGTAGGCCCCACGTCTCGCCCGCTGTCAGCTCCCCCAGGTCAGCCTCTCCGGGGCTCCCAGCTGCTCACCCGCAGAGGTGACCGAGATAGAAACACCGTCCAACCTAAAGGGCCGTCCTCTCTCCAGCCTGCTGACGGGAGTCTGCTCCCCAGGGGAGCAGGGAGCAGGGCTGACATCCAGGGCCTGGTCTACGTGGCTTCCTGGGGCTCCAAGGAGGGAACTCACAGCCCTGAGGTAGCCCAACAGGGGCAGAGATGGGGTCTCTGCTGAGACCCTCCACACCCTTCTCTTGTCCTCATTTCCAGGACCCTCTGGGAGCCCCAGCCGCCCCCCACACACAAGCGGACCCACCTCAACACCTGGTGAGCCCCTGCCTTTGCCCAGGAGTCCTCAGTGTCCCCAGGCCGGTCTGCAGAGACTCCGGACCCAGTCCTGGCTCCTGCCCCAGCAGTGACTCCCAGGCGACCCGTTGCGGTGGGCAGGGCAGAGGGAGGCTTCCCGGGCCAGGCAGGAAGCAGGGACCAGACAGGAGGGGGCACAGGGGCCAGAGCCCCACAGTCCCTGAGTAGAGTCCGGGAGCCATTTGTCCTCAGGGAGCTGGGACCAGGGCAGGAAACAGGGCAGGCAACAGTCGGGGAGTCCCCTGGGGGCCGGGCTGCGTGATTCGGCCTCCCTGCGGAGTGGCCCCTCTGAGCCTCTCACCGGACGCTGAGCCCAGACCTTGCACCCTGTGGGGGCAGCCTCCAGGCCCCTCAGTGTGACCTTGTGGGGTGTACTGGGCTCAGGCTGGACCTGCTGAGGCCCCGGCCCTCTGCCGTCCTGCTCCTCCAGTGGTGGTGACTTGTGTGGACGTGGCGCCCAGGGAGCCCGGGCAGGTCCTGCAGCTGCTGGGCAGGGGCCCTAGTGCTAAGGGGACAGCGAGAGGATCAAGTCCCAGAAGGTCGATCTCCCTGCCCCGCAGCCCACCCCACTCCCAGCCACCCCTGGAGGAGAGATGCAGCAGGAGGGCGGGGCTGGTACAGGGGGCGCCAGCCTGACCCTGAGCCCAGGAGGGCAGGGGTGACGGGAGGGGGCACAGGCCTGACCCTGAGCCCAGGAGGGCAGGGGTGACGGGAGGGGGCACAGGCCTGACCCTGAGCCCAGGAGGGCAGGGGTGACGGGAGGGGGCACAGGCCTGACCCTGAGCCCAGGAGGGCAGGGGTGACGCGGGGGGG